TTACAGTGCCCAACACACTGGGAATGTTATGAAAATACAACAGTGATTACTACATGTCTATATTTGTATTAATTTTTTATTATTGTTATTTGATCTTGAATTTCAGCCTTCAAAACTATGAAAAATTCATTTTTAAAGATTGCTTAAAATTTATTTTGTATGTATGAGTGTTTTTCCTGCATGTATGCCTGTGAGCCATGTTCATGTCTAGTGATGTCAGAAGAGGGTGACAGATCCCCTGTAATTGTAGTTGCGGATGGTTGTGAGTCACTGTGTGGGTGCTGAGCACTAAATATTGGTTCTATGCATAAGTAATGAGTGTTCTTAAGCACTGAGCCATCTCTCCACAATTTCTGCTACATAAGACCATCTAGTCTATATTAATTGTGATGGCAGCCTGAACATCACATTTATGAAAATAAAGAAGCAGATCTTACAATTTGTTAGTTGTATGTAAACAAAGTGTAGAAACCAAGAAAACTGGTGATTTACCAGATGTCTAACTACAATCAACATCTTCATGTTTTTTGGTCATCTTCTGTGAGAAGGAGGTAGGAATGAGACTGGTAATTAACTTAAGGTCTAAATGGTACCTAATAAGATTCTCAAGCAACCTTATTGCTTCCTAGTTGCCTTATTACTACCCAGATGTGATTGTCAGGCCACAAAGCCATGACACCATGAATTATTCTTTATTCATCTTCCACGTATGGAGTGCCTGCTCCTCACAGGTTCCTCATTCAGAAGATCCTGGTTAGTCATGTAATGTTTAACATACAGATCCCAGGTAAGGATGCTCAGGAAGGCAACTGGTGGAGACTTGGAAAGGAGGGAGACAGGGATTTTCCCTGACCATACTTTCTCTCGGGTGTCATCCATCATTCCAGTAAGAACCCATTCTGAGTCTCATTCACCTTGGATCACATCCACAACACAGGCAGCTCCAATGGAGACAGGCAAGATTCCAATGCCCAACAACTCTCACCACTGTCTCATGTGCTGCTAGGCAGGCTGGTGATGGAGATGAGGAGGTGGGAGAGGAGGGCAGCAAGAACACAGAAAGAATGAGGCCCTCTCTCCACTAGACTGAAGATTCGAGAGTTGTAAGATGCACATTCCCCAAGTTCACTGTGGTTTTCCTGATAAAGTGGAAGTGAATCCTACAGGAGAGAGGGTTCTGCACCCCGCTTTCTGATTGTGAAGGTGCTCACTGCTTCTGTTCAGGGTTACATTTTCTCCTATTGTTAGACCACTACCTGATGGGAGATGCCATTCTGTAAATATGTTTCTTGTATTGGTTAATGAATAAAGTACTGTTGGCCATTAGGAAAGCAAGATAGGTGGGACTAGGAGACGAGGAGGAGAGAGGAAGGAGTAGGAAGGAGATTCAAGATGGAGGACTGAGAAAGAAGAATGCAGGGCTCTCTCTCTGGTAAGATGAGACCACGTGGAAATACTTAGATTAATAGAAATGCTTAATATTTAAGATAGAGCCAGCCAATAAGCAATGATAGTAATAGGCCAACAGAATTATATCTAATACAGTGTTGCAGTGTATTATTTGGGGCTGGCACGGCCGTGGGACCAGGCCGGCGGAAAAACCTACTCATAACAATGACCCACTTCTTTTAATCATTTTTGGTGTCTTTCAGTTGTCCAGCATTTTCTTTCAAACACACAGAACAAAAGTGAGAACATACTAGCCACTCACAAGTCTTAATTTAGAGTTCTGGAATTCTTAGTTGATTAATGCCTTCTGACATGGCCCAGATGTCTCTAGAGCAATTAGTAACAGAACGGGGTTAACAGAGCTCTTCATGGTGATGCTGATTCATTATGACTGATTGCTCATTTATGAAAATTAAGCAAGTCAAATGGAGTTTAGACCCAAAAGGGTAGCACTAGCTTGACAGTCTGTAGACACCAACACCTCTCCCGATTTTATCTTTACCACATTTAAGAGACAACCACACACAAGAAAAGGCTTGTATTTTATGTATTTGCTCCAAGTTATATGGTGCTAAAGCTCATAGATCATATAGATACACTCAGATATCTTCGGTCCTTCATGTACAGGCTCCTGTGCATAGCTGGCCCACTCAAGCTCCTGAGTTCACATGAGGTTGCCATGTCTAACTAAATAAATTAGAGGGTGTTATTCATTAAAATTTCTGTAGCTATGCTTGCCTATCTTTCTTCCATTGCTGGTGGATTCTTGCCAGCTTGTTTTGCAACAATGAGAATTTTCCTGGCTCAGATAATGCCTTTCAATGCTACTAGTAATTTTGAGGTATATAGCCCTCAGTTAGCTTTGTTGGCTTCTGGCATACATCTTCAACATTTTCCTATTTATGTTCATTCTATACAGTGACCCAGGAAGGGTTTTGGTTTCTTTTTAAGAATGGGCCTCACTATGTAATCCTGGATGGCCTGAGACTTCCTATGTACACCAAGCTAGCCTAAATTCAGGGAGCTCTTCTTGCCTCTGCCTCCCAAGTGCTGGGAGGAAAAGCATGTGACACCCACAATGCCTGCCCTCCAGGAAGATGATTTAAAAGCTCATTGCATCATAGCATCCAAAACCCTCTAAACCTTGCTACTTCTAAGGAATAAAATACAAATCTTTGCAGGCCACTACCTGGTGAATCCTGACTCTAGGTGGTTTTAATTAAACCCTCAATGTCATCTTTAACCCAGCTGAGCCACTGAAGTGACCCCAAACATCCCTACCTTGGAGCCTTTCCCAGAGTTTTCTTCCAGTTCTTTACAAATGTCTGTCACACAGACATCAACAGGACTTCAGTCTCTTCAGGGACTTTTTGTGAGGCTGAATTGAACCATGACTCTACTCCCAATGGCATTTGCTCGAACACTATAATACACTCACCCCTTGGTTTCTGTAGAAGCCTGGCTTAAGATTCCCGTGGACACCCAAATCTATGCATGCTCAAGTCCCTTCTACAAAATAGTACAGTATTTGCATAGACTCTACAATACCTCCCCTATACTTTAAATTAGCTCTAAATAACACATACTGCCTAATTCAATGCAGGTACTGGGCAAATAACTGTAACATTATGCTATTTGAGGAAATTACAAAAATAATCTGGACATATTCAGTATACAATTTAATAAATATTTTCCATCTGTGCTTGACTGAACCACAGACATAGAACACACATACACATAAGGCTGATGGAATATATATTCATTAAACTAGCACAGAGTTGCACTCACTTTGGTAGTAACACAGTGTTCTGTCTGTGGCAGGCATGTTGAGCAAACATATACAATATGGATATGTAGGGGTTTATTTTGCAGTGCTGAATTTTTATTAAGGGATATTTGTTGTTCAATGTGTAAAGAATATATAACTCTGACTTTGTAGTTCTAATCCTAGAAATTCCCTGGGGAAATCTCCAAAGGACACATGCAGGCTACTACAGATGCTTGCCACTGTAATTTTTACAGTAATGTCAAAGAATTCCTTGATCTGCACCAAGCAGCTGATAAAACCACACTGTACAATAGTTACTAACACAAGATTCAGCTCACACATTGTTATGAACAAAAAGCAGATGTGAAGGCAATAGATAGAGTGATATTTGTTTTTCTTTTTTTTTTTCTTTTCTAGACAGTGGTTATATGTCTTAGAGGGAGGCCTTTTCCCCTTTGATTCTATGTGAATTAAAATGTTGGGATACTAAACTGGTATGTTATTGATGTGTTGAATGGATCTTAGAGAGATAACACCCCTTTTACACCACAAACACCCAGCTGAGATGGATGGGGGCATTGGCATAACTCAGTTTGACATCAGTCTATATTGAATCTGGACTGTAGAGAGAGATGTCCTGCTAGTGTGGGGACAGTCACTGATGTCCTAGAAGGCAGGATGCTCAGGTTCCAGTCATGCCAGCCCTGCCAGTCCTGAAAAAAATCACTTCCTTTTCTCGACTCTCAGTCTGTCTACTATAAGTGAGTATGTTTTGCTACTTCCTCCTCCATTACATGTTGTAAAATGTTATAGAGGTTACTTAGATACTATTTGTAAGAACACTAAATATGTTGTAAAAAAGCAGTTGATAGATCTGATTATATCATAATGGTGAAATGCAATTTCATTACATATCCGACTCCATATCCATGCATACATTCACTAACCAAACAGAATGAAGGTGCAAAACACATTTCAGAGCACTCCACTAAGCCTGTACTTCCTCTAAAGGTATTTCCCATACATCTTGTTGGTTATTTTATTGCTATTGCTTTTTGAAATGGGGTCTCATTTAGCTCAGGCTGACCTCTAACTTGCTGAGTAACCAAAGATGATCTTGAGCCCCTGATCCCGCTGCTTCTACCCCCCAAGTGATGGGATTACAGGAATGTACCACGATGCCTAGCTTCTTCCTTCCTTCCTTCCTTCCTTCCTTCCTTCCTTCCTTCCTTCCTTTCTTTCTTCCTTTCTTTCTTTCTTTCTTCCTTCCTTCCTTCCTTTCTTTTTTCTTTTTCTTTTTTCTTTTTTTTTTTAAAGAAAACCGACAGTAAGCAAATGAAATTACTTTTAAGAAATAGTCTGGACTTTAGATCAATAACTTACAAACATTTAAAGCCTTAACAGGCCCATTATAAAGGAAGCAAAGCACTTTCCTTTGCCCATGTAAACATTCTGACGTTGATTCTAATTTGCCCAGATGGGCAATAATCTTGAATTGGTCACATAAATACAATGTACATATTTACAGATACACATATGACAGATAACACCGAAGGCTATTGGCATATGGCTGGCAATTGCCTATCAAATGCTTCTTGACACAGAGACATAAACTCTGGTCATGATCTCATGTACCAACACATACATACAAACACCCAAACACCCCATGGGGCCATCTTCCCAGAGATGCCTATTCAGGTTTCAGAAAAAAAGAACCAGAGAGAAACTAACTATCCCTTGAAGGGAGGGAGGGGCTGTGTGCCTCAGAAGATGGCGAACTTACCTGTTAAGTGGTTGGCAATCCGGGCAGTGGGTTTGGGAGGCAGGGCCGGGGGCTGCTTGAGGAGGGACAACTGCTTCACTGGGGTCTCCTCATGGTCTCCAGAGAAAGCAGCAGGTTTTTTGGGGGGCAGGAACAGAACTGGTTTGGCTGAAGGATCTTGGGACAGGAGGACTCCAGACTCACTGGCAGAGGGGCTCTCTTGAGACACTGAGGGGACAACCACATGAGACACAGGAGACATTACACAAACGCAGTGCAGGCCAGCCAAGGGACACAGGACAGGGACACGGGCAGCCCAACGAGACAGCAGAGTGCCACCCGCGGCAGGCCATGATGGGCACACGGAGAGCTAAAGCAAGGACAAGAGAAATCCAAGAAATCGGGTGGGATGTGGGGGGAGGGGCAGAAAGAGAGAGGAGAGATGGAGAGAGAGCAAGAGGGCAAAGGGCAGGGGCAAGGGCATTTCCTCATGAAAAATGTCACCACTTCAAACTACCAAGCCTGCATCATCCAGAGTCTACAGATGCTCCTCCATGTGACTCAGGAGACCACAGGCACTACAGGGCATGAGTCCCATGGGGACTTTGAGTCCCCTAAACTGAACATAAAGAGCCAGCACCTTTCCTTGGGTCCCTGAGTTCTTCCCTTATTGAGGGAAGAGAGAGATGGGTCACACACTTCTGGCAAGTATTAGCGTTGTCCACTGGGTCTTGCTCTCTGGCCTGGGATACCCGGTGGCAGCTAACTAGCTTGGCACTAGAGGCCATGCACACAGGCTGTTCCTCCAAGCTCTGGAATGGTCAGGACTGACAGGCAGGCTCTCAGTGAGGACTCTAGCTCTTGAGGACACACTCTTGCCCTGCCTGGCCCTATAAATTCTCACAAGGCGGAGGATGTGCAAAGGTTACACCTTTTTATTTGTCCAGTTCCTTCACTTCCTGCTTGCCAGATTTCTGGCTGTCTTCTTAATTTTTCCCTTCTTTCTTCTTCCCGCTCGCCTCTTCTTTCCAGAGTCTCATACATTCTAGGTTGGTTGATCTAGAACTTCCAGTTCTGCTTCTACCTCCTGGGTGCTGGGGTTGCAAGGCACGTACCACCCTGCCTCAGAATTAGCTAGGTACATGGTATCAGGGACTGACCCCAGGACATCGTGCATGCTAGGCAAGCACTATAAGTACCCAGTCACATCGTAGCTCCCACTGTCTTGTTCCAGCTCTCCCCCATCTCTTCACTTGGGCCCGACTCTTCGTTTCCCGACTGGAGCATCCTGCTAGGTTCCTTTATTGAGTTGCCATAAGGTGGTAGCCTACTGCACCCTGCTATGTTGGGACTTGGCTAGGGTGGAAGATTTCACTAGAAGAGAGTGACCGTAGATTCCAGTGGTACAAGGCAAGTTGAGTTGAAAATTGAAAATTAAGTGTTCTTGTTTGAGAAATTCTAAAGGGCAAAATACAGCTCAACTATCTGTCCCCCTGCCTTCCATGACTGTCAAAGGAGGCAGTTTATAAAGATTCTTCTGCTTTCCTGCCTTCTCTCTCCCCTGGTGAAAGTAATGTCTACACAGCAGCACAACCCTGCAAAGAACCCTTGATACCCCGAGTTTTCCCCACCTCAGGGGACATTGTTCTAATCAGTGCTCAACAATAGCTGGCCAGGTCCCACAGTGACTGGTGAGAACCAGGAGAGAGAGGGGAAACCCTCTCTCTCCCCTCCTCCCACATGAGTAAAGTGTGCACATAGATGCTGCACACGGAAGTACTAGGACTTTCCACCCACACTCCAGGTAGTCCCCGAGGTTCCTTCCCCAGCCCATCTGACATGTGCTGTTCTCTCTGTTGGTAGGGACTTATCTTTGGGCTGGTTAGGAGGGCCGTGAAACTCCTGAGAGAGGCAGATTGGACACTGGGTAACATAGTAGGCCAAAGAGGGAGGCAATAATTAGAAAGCATGCAAACTCATCTATAGGCAGGCTCCAGCTTATCTGGGAAATTGTATACAGTTTAACAAGTATCCAGTAAATTTACTAAACTGATATAATCACTGATGAGTATACTGGGACTAGAAATTAGATAGTGTGGCCAGGCCTTTGGGACAAAAGGATTAGACAGGTGGAGAGAGGGATAGGATTTTTTTTTTTGATTTATCTTAATGAAGATGAATGTTAGAAAACAAGCAATATTTTACACCACCAATATGATAAGACAAGTTATAATACCTTTAAAGTAACTTAAGTCACATAATATAAAATATTATGTGAAAATAGTATCCACATTTTCTTAGGCTCAGTTATGTACAGACAGCTCTGACATTGGCTTCTCCAACATTTTGAGGTTAAAATGGGCATCCTAAGTCCTACCAGGACACTGTAACATCCTGGAGACCCACCCCATGCCTCGGCCAGTTCATTACCTGGTCCATCCATGATATCTGAAGCTTGGAGCACCTCAAACGAGCAGGGGTCCCTGGGCATCGGTACGGGCTCCATTTCCGACAGGGCAGGCAAAGAGAGTTGGCTGGAACTCAGGGACTGCCCATTCTCCAGGGAGTCATCTTCATTCGAAATGGAGAGCTCTCCATCTGTGGGTGAGAAGGAGATGATAGGATCAGACGAGGTGTGTCCTCTTGGGAACACTCAAGGCTGCTAACAAGTCTAGATGCTCTGAACCATCTTTATCAAGGTCAGTATCTGCACTTGACAGCAGCTCTTTGCTTTTAAAAGATGCACATTTAGAGAGAGCCCATATGTTTCTGGAAAGTACTTTTCAGCCATTCACAGCAACTTGTCTAAAGTTTTCTCTCCATTCTTTTCATCTCAATCCACTTTGTGTTCTATGTGTGTAAGTATTTTTCTGTTTAAAAGACTTACTCAACTTTTAATTATGTGTAGTTGTGTCTATATATGGTGGGGTGGTTTGAAAGAAAATGGCCCCCAAAGGAAGTGTGGCCTTATCGGAGTAGGTGTGGTCTTGTTGGAAGAAGTGTGTCACTGTGGAGGTCTCATATATGCTCAAGCCGCACCCAGTCAGACAGTTCACTTCCTGTTGTCTTCAAGATGTAGAATTCTTAGCTACCTCTCCAGCACCATGTCTGCCTGCCCACCACGTCCTACCACGATGATAATAGACTGAACCTCTTTACTGTAAGCGAGCCGCTACAAATAAACATTTTCCTTTATAAGAGTTGCTGTGGTCATGGTGTCTCTTCACAGCAATAGAAACTCTAAGACATGTGGGCACATGCATGTGAGTAGAGGTGTTCTATGAGGTCAGAACAGGATATCATGACATGAGCTGTTCTTCTCTGTTGGCAGGGCCTCATCTTTGGGCCCATTAGGATGTCTCTGCATCTTCCAAGAGAGGCATGTTGGCTGCTTAGGTGACAATGGACCAAGGAGGGAAGTACCCTAGAGGGTGGCACTGGAGCTATGGTAAGTCAGCTGTAAGCCTCTCAGTGCAGCTGCTGAGAACTGAAGTCAGGTCTTCTGTTGCTGGAGTTCCTTGTCTTGCCAGATCCCACCTCTGCTTTCAACTCCAAATTAGCACACTGAGACTTATATTAATTATAAAACTGTTGGACAATGGCTAGGGCTTCTTATTGGCTAGCTCTGTCTTAATTATTAACCCACTTCACTTATTCTGTGTATTGCCACGAGGCTGTGGCTTATGTGTAATCCAGCATGTTACTTCTTGGGCAGCATGGTGTCTTCTTGAGGCCTCTCTGCCTATCTTTCCCAAAGTTCTCCTTATCTCCTAGTCCTGCCTATCTTCCTGACTCTATTGGCCAAACAGTATTTTATTCATCAACCAATCAGAGAAACATACATACAGAAGGATATCAGTCTTCTGCAAGGACAGTATGAATTCATAGACATCAAACCTGTCTTTAGCTCTTACTTTTTTTCTTAATAAAACTGAATGAAAATTGTTTTTTTTCCTTTTAATTTTTAAAAGGTATAGAAACTTAGTAGGCAGATTGAGAATATTTACATTAGGGAACTAACATTGCCAAAGCTATTGGTGGCTTTCCACAAAGTGACAGTAAGGCCCTATTGATGAAAGCAACACATACACAACTCAATGGACATGGAGAAGCCAAGCTGGTGCCCAACTAGAGCATTTACCTCTATCGGCTAGTATTCATGGTACAGGAAGGTTCTCTGCATGCAACCAAAGGAGAAAGGTAAATACCCACATAGCTAAAACAAAACAAAACAAAACAAAAACACCCCCCTTCAATCTACAATGGTGACTTGCCTGTGATTTGATCGTGGCACAAAGTTTGTGGAAGTAACCAACCAAAATCTGATTTGAGATAAGGCCTACCCCAAGAGATGGAACCCATACCCAATGCTGCTTGGATGATCAAGAACATGAGACTAGATAGGCCAGGGACCTAGGGAAAACCAGATACTATTGTTCTGCTAAAGGAACGTAACAATATAATGACTTGTAATAACTTTCGGCTGTATAGATCTGATTCTTGCTCAGCCATTATCAGAGAAGGTTCCTCCTGCAGCAGGTAGAAGCAAAAACAGAGACCACAGCCAGTGCTTAGGGAACTCTTTAGAAGAAGAGGCAGGATGAATGTAAGAGCCAGAGGGGATGGAGAACATCAAGATATTAAGGCCTTATAAATACAACAGGAAGGGCATACATACAAACCCGCAGAGACTGAGAGAGCACACACAGGGCTTGTTCAGGTTTGCACCAGATGAGGTCCTAGAGATGAAAGGAGAAGTGAACACATGCCCCCATCCCTAACACAGAAACCATGTCCAGTTAATTGCCACTTGAAAAATGAAAGATTTAAGTTTTGTCCAAGGAAATCTCACTTAGGGAAACAAACCATACCTCGTAAGGGTAGGTCCCATGCCCACAAGTGGGTGGCCAACCCAAAATGAACTCAATGTCTTCTTAGGAGTTTTTTGTCTCATAATGCTGTGGGGCGTTTTCCTCTACTCTACAGGCCCTTTGCATATATATTATGGCTTCTGGTTTGAGTTTTTTAATGGGTATCCTGTGTGTGTAAAAGTGTGTGTCTCTGTGTCTATCCATGTTTCTTGGGCTTTTCCTTTGCCTCTCTTTGCTGTTTGGTTGTTTTGTCATATTCTAGTTTGTGTGTTTTTGATTTATTTTATGTTTATTCTTTAGATACCTATTTGATTCGGTTTTCTAATTAGAGACAGAAAAGGTGTGAATCCGGATGGGAGAAGAGGTGGGGAGGAACTGGGAGGAGTAGGGGGAGGAGAAACCATAATCAAAATATATTGCGTGAAAAACAACAACAAAACAAATAATATTAGGGAGCAAAGAAGCAGTGAGGACAAGCAACTGCAGGTCCAAAGAAGGACATCACTCATCTCTTTACTTCTGTCCTCATCCAATTCTTGAGGAGAGTAAGCATTTAGGAAAGTCTATAATCCCTACCTCACAGGCTGTGGTAGCTCAAGGCAGCTGGGAAGTGCCAGAATCCTTTGGTGCCAACCACCAGCCATGTCAACTTTGATCTGCTTGAAGCTCAGTTCCTCAAAGGGTCGATTTGAAGATCAAAGACTCCCATTCAATACCCCCCCCACACCCAGCATGATTTCATCTTCACCCAGGGAGTCTTAGATAGCTAAACGTTAAAGCCAAATTAATTTTTCAAGAGGACTTAAAGCTCTTTTAGTCAGATGAATAAACACCCAGATGAAAGATGAAGCTGTGCCTACTCAGAAACAGAGCCCTGCAAAGCAACAGCCTGACTTAAAAGTAGAGAAGAGTTGTAGAAATAAAAGCGAGCTGAAGCTGAGGTTAATCTTCCCTTCCACTATATTTCTCTTGATGCTTTGATTTTATACATTTATGATATCTGATAGCACTGAAATCCTTCACATCACCCCATTAGAACTGCCTCCAATAGAATGTGTGCTTGCTAAAGTAATTTAATAAACCAACAGGCTATAATTAGTACATAGTTCAAGGACCTATAGTGTTTCATATGGATTGTCTATAAGCACTAACATATTCATTGAAGCAGACAGTCACATACAATACTGGCATTTGAAGGCTATGTTAATCTCTTTATGTTCTTTTCATTCAATGTCTCTGCAAAACCTAAATAGTAAGAGATGTTATTACCATGGAGATGAAAGATATGGTTACTACTTGTTGAGAAGAACACAAGATCAGGGCAAGACCTTAAGGCCAATGCTATGGAGATTATAGCTGAGCTACAAAAGTGAAGGGCGGGGAAAGCTGTGCTGTGTTCATGTGACCTCACTGTATTCCTAGTCATCTCAACATGCTTTTATTTATCATCTTCAAGCTGTTATCATGGGAAGTGGCTCTGCTGAAAGTCCCTAATTAGTGGGACATACTGTCATTCTCATCTCTAGGAGTTCACTCTAATTCCTGATGTTCTGAGTATATTTATGGCCCTCAAGAAGACAACCCAAAGAGGAAAGGGTCTTGATGCAACCACCAAGTTTTGCTTTTTTGGACCACTGATGATGTTGAATGATGATCGACTGATTTAAGAGTTGAGAGTACTGCACAGGTAACTCTGGGATAAAAGATACAGCTGCAGCTGGATTTCTCTGGTTCCATTATGGAAGCCAGTTTACAGTCTTGCTAGGAAATTAGCTAACTGAGAAGCCCGTGGCTCCCTTCTCTTGAGATGTCTTCACTCTCTCAATCTGGAGCTCCTTGTGGGTGAAAACAGGCCTTTGACAGGTTGCTAAGTCCTAAGCTACTTTGCAGAGGGATCATTCTGGGCAATTTCATTGTTGTAATTGATAAAGACAAATTACCATAGAAAAAATTAAAATGTGACAAAGAAAAATATGTAGACGACACTCTTAGTTTCCCTAACAGAAGCAGTGTCTTCTTTCCGTGAATATTTTTTCATGGCTGAAATCCTACTATGTTTCAAAATTTGGTGTGTTGGGGCTGGAGAGATGGCCCAGTGGTTAAGAGCACTGGGTGCTCTTCCAGAGGACCCAGGTTTAGTTCCCCGAACCCATAACAATAGTCTATAACTCCAGTTCTAGGAGATCTGACTCCCTCTTCTGGCATCTGTGGGCACTGCATGCACCCAGTACACACACATGCAGGCAAAGCACACACACACACACACACACACACTCACTCAAAACTCTTAAAGAACTATGTCTTGTTTTTTTAATCTTACTGTTGTGATCTCAATTATAATCTGTTAGCAATCATGCTAGATATTTACTTCATTTTCTCCCTCACATCCCTACCAAGCATTAAAAATTCCCAACCTAATTGCTTAGCTTGAAGATAGTATAGTACATGATGTCAGCTGTACTATTTCCATTTAAGTATTCATTGTAAAACATAACAACAAAGGCATTTAACTCATAAAGGTGTTTTCAGTGTTTTATACCATTATGAAAGATAGCTGAGAAGACTATCTTACATAGGATTTTTCTGTAATTAGAATTCTAATGTATACTGACACATGAATGATTTTTGTGGAGTTATCGAAAGGCTTTTCTACTTTTACACTTACCAGCAATTTGTAGAACAATACAACTTAGATTCTGGGAAGTTCTTCATTATTAACAATGTTAA